TGGCTATTAAGACCCAAGCAAGTGATTAAAAAACTTATGGTTCCAAATCCAGAAGATGTTAGTCACACTTAAGCTCTATTAAAACCAGTGAGGCAAGTTAGCCATGACTGACTAAAATTCCAGTAATTTCAATACAACTGAAACACAGTTAGTTTTTTTGGGATTAGGGCCAAACAATACAGTTGCCCTCCATCAAAAGTATACACTTATTTCTTTCACCGCATGGTCCCCTCTGGTCAAAGAGATTCTTGAAGCGTTGCAAAGATTGGGTACAAATGATAGCACAGGTGAATGCACACCATCAGTAATAATGGCTCCAGCATTCTCTCTTAAGCTTTTTGAAAAACTCTTCCCTGCCTCCACCCTTGTTTGCATTTAAAAATTAAGAGCCCACCACCATCTTCCTATAAAGGACTCATTTTCAATGTCAGCATTATATCACATTTTGCAACGTGGGACTTCCACTACTGTTGATATTCCACATCTGTCCGTGTAGTAAGTTTTAGGACTGAATCAAAGTTATGTCCATTGCACCTGGATTGGGGACCAGCCAATGGGGGGGGGGATGGGAGAAGGACAACACAAACACACTGTGATGGAAAGAGTCAGCCCACAATTTTATTGATTACACTTCCTCATGTCTTGGCCTAGCATAGGCTGGGGAGAACAGGTGCAATTGACAGCCCAACTGCTGTCAGCACTTTCCCTAATGTGCGTGTTGGGGTAACCGAGTGAAGAGGACTGGTATTAAGGCTGGAAGTGGCAGAAACCACTATTCATACCCATCACCATCCTCCTTGGTGCATGGTCTATGCATCAGCCCTAAGGTGGGCTGTTGTGAACCCTCCCCCCAAGCCCCTTAAGAGGACTCTCCTTTTTAGTGATTTTTCTGAATGTCGAATGCATCTTCAGCCCATAGAGCATTTTTGAGAAGCACTGTGGAACTTTTATATATTTAGACTGGCTCCAGGACCACTGGGTTTTTATTATCTGTGCCAACAACCTGTAGTGGACTGACTAGGAAGGGATTGATATGGACTTCACCTTCAAATCCATCACCTATAAAATCTGGGTCCAAACTGATTGGTGATGATGTTGTACTACCCTTGATAATAATCTGTGCCTCCTTATGGTGGTTGCCCTTGAGAACTGTATGGCTTTAAACAGTTTCATATCATTAGACTACTTCATACATGTTACTGTAATCTGCATGTTTTGGAAATCCATTTTTCTAGAGTTTATATCACATGAACTTGACAAAGGTTTAAAAATAAGCTGACAAAGTATAATTAGCAGGCTGAAATCTGGATCTGTACTTTCATCCTTTTCTGTACATTCCAGCTGTTACATAAAGGAGAATGTTTGTTTCTGGAGGAAGGTTCTAGATCCAACCACAACTGCTTCCACTCTTA